AATAATCAGGTAAAAAATAAAAGTCAGTAGAAACAAAACTTCAAAATGCTTAAATCAACAAATTTTTATATATTTTAATTATAAGATTTAAAAAGTGTAAATATAATTGTAAAATATTTAAAGAAATAAAAGATGAAATTTTTAAAATGCACAAAGACTTTGACAATCACAAGACCAGTTGAAAAAAAAAAAAAAGACACTAAACTTAACTTGTAAAAATGAAAGGAAAAGAGTTGAAGCTAGAAACTCAATGTTTAAGCCAAACATAAAACCTATGAACAGACAAGAAAAATAATGAACTGAAAGAGCTAAATAAATTATCAGAAAGTGGCCCAAAGAGATAAAGAGGATTGGAAGTAGAATGGACAAGTTAAGAGACATGGAGAATGCAATTCAAAGGTTCACTACACATATAATATAATGTCTAGGAGTTATAATAAGGATAATGGAAGAGCAGCAATATAAAAAAAAAAACAGATGTGTAAAAACAGCTAAAACATGTACTCCTCCACAAGTAAACCTAGCACTAACCTAGTATATCAAGCAAAATTTAAAAATCTATATACACATATCATAATGAAACTTCAATAAAACAAAGACAAAAAGAGAAACTCTAAAAAGGCCAAAGAGAAAACACAAATTATTTAAAAAGGAATTAAAGTTGAACAACAGCAGACTTCTTTTGAGCAACAATGAAAGCCAGGAGATAGTGGAATAACATTTTTATATTGTTGTAAACCTAGAATTTTGTAACCAGAAAAACTATCTTTTAATAAGGAAAGTGAAATAAAGATATATTCCTGTTAAAGTATAGTCTATTTATAGTAGTATTATGAGCTGAATTGTGCCACCCTCCCCCATCTCCTATATTTGTAGGTTAAAGTCCTAACTCTCATTACCCCAGAATATGACTTTATTTGGAGATAGATCTTTAAAGAGGTAACTGAACAAAAATTAAACCATTTAGATGGGCTCCTTTTCAGAGTCCTTATAAGAAGAAGAAATTGAAATTAGAGAGACACAGGGATATATGTGTGCCCAGAAGGACAAATATGTGAGAACAAAGCAGTGAGAAGGTAGCTATTGGCAGCTTAGGAAGAAGCCTTAGTAGAAACCAATCCAGCCAACTCCTTGATCTTGGACATCCAAACTCCAGAACTAGCAGAATATAAATTTCCATTGCTTAAGCCTCCCAGTCTTTGGTGTTTTATTATGGCAGCCTTAGCAAACTAATGGAAGTAGACCTTTCTTTGTTTACCAAAAGACCTTTAAGAAACACATTTTATATTCAAGGACAATGACCTGAGTCTGTTTTGTTAACTGCTCTATATTAGCACCTACACCAAGGCCTAATGTATAAATAGGCACCCCAAAATATTTGTGAAGTAAAGCAGATGTGGCAGCCAGACTTATGGTTCCTTCTTTCCACATCTAAGTTTTAGTTTTAGGTGAGGAAAAGGATGAAGCAATGTTGTGAAAGTGAACTCAGAAATATGGACTATTTACTGAAAATGTGTTCCTTTAGTACATGCTGTCTAGAAGACTTTTATATCATGTTTCAAAAAATCTTGTATTCAAGATTCAAGTGAAAAGAAAAATAACTTTTCCATTTAAGAACTTTATAGGTATTTAAGTCTAGAGACACTTAATGTCAGATAAAAGGCCAGATGTTTATATTTAAGCATTATTTATTCATATTTTATGATGATTATTAACATTATTTTGGTGAATTTTAAGAAATATATTTTTTAAATGTTGCTTTAATTTAGGCCTGGAAAAGTAGCACAAACAAATGCATTTCTTAAAATTAAAGGTTTATTATTTAGTGTGGAGTGTTTGTATTAGCAAATTAAAAAATCTTCTAATAATATATTAGACTCTTGGAGAGTTATTTCACCAACTTCATGGGTTTCTGTGTTATCAGAAGAATCAAATAAAAGCACATTGGCACAGGAACAAGTCTTTTTATTTTTATTTTTTTGCTCAAACCCAAGGGAGGCAGCATGTGCAGAACAGAAATTTCTGGCTAACTACAACATTTAATGAAGATGTGAGCTCTTTGGCATCTACAAGATAGATAGAACCTGACCATCACACACAGAGATGGAATTTTTGCAATACCCGTGCTCTTCTTTATCATGCTTCTTCATGCAGTGCATCTTATTACCATCTTCAGTTTTTGCCTCAGGGTGATTTTTACTATGTTAAATAAAGTAAAGGTAACTAAGTAACTAAATAAGTTACTTTAGTGAATGATTTTCTATATGTATTTGTCCTTTACCTATTGGAATTTTCTCCTTATCATTTGGGGAAGTTCTTAATTTTGGAATAGGGCATATCCACTGCTCTGCCTCAGTGGATTTAATTTTAATCTTGTTTTTCTTGACCCTGGCTTCTTGATATCTTTGGAGACCACATAGTCTTTGAAGGCTGAACTGACTTTCCAACCTCCTGTCTCCTGGTGTTTTATCTTAATTTTATAGCCTTGAAATTGGTCTACTGGTCTACTTTTTAACTTTCATTTTTTTCTGCTGTGCTTGCTAACCCCATAAGTTAGAAGTCTTGTTTAGCTGTCTTAGTTAAATCTTCTATTATTCAAACACTTCTGTGCTTATAAAATTTTGTTCTTTGATTCATGAGTATGATCTCAATAGGATGAAAATAAAGTTACTGTGTTGGTGTAGTTAATAATATTTTACTATTTTTTATATACTGCAGGTTTATTCATTAAGAAATATTCACACTAAGAATGATATATGAATAATACACAATGAATAATTTTAATCCCTGAGTCATGCTTTCTGTGATGGTATATTCTGAAACAATTTCCTCAGTGCATAAATTCTTTAAAAAGGAATTTAAAAGATTCTAAAATCAGTTCTAAAGTTGAATTTGGTGCTGAAATTTTACTCTTACCTATAAGTAATAACATCACATCATGATAATAATAACAGACATTCTCTATATTTTGTAAGAACTTTCCAGAATATTTGACTCTATAGGATTATTGTCATCATACTCCAAAAGGTATAAAATAATTGGGATAGCTGACAGAAAATGTAGAGTATTATTTGTATGGTGCCAAAATGATCATCCAGTTCAGTAAAATAGTAAGGAGTAAATTCAGTTAATACTTCAGATAGCTAGTTGGATATTGAGAAGAGCAAATGCTTAGTTCAGTGATTTTTTGATAGTTGTTATTGTGTATACCCAGGCTGTGTCTTAGTAAATAAATGGAAGGTAAAGGAAAACCTATTCTGTGATGGTGTCATCTCATATGCCACTAAAAAAAAATCGTCTTTGCCCTTAGGGTTTCTCTAGGTCTAAAGAAACACTCAGAGGATACACTGATTCTGTCTTCCAGGATTTTATAGGGCTAACATTCTATAGGAATTTATTGTTTAATCAAAAAAGAATTTGCTTCCAGACAGCAGCTTAGAGAGTATTTTCTGAAGATCCTCTACTCTGTACAGGATACCCATCTTTCTACAGAACGTTACACAGACCAGAGCACCATGTTTAATTTATATGTTGGGTTTTGAGAATCTGGATTTTTCTCCATGATCCATTATTTATTTAGCCAATTAAAAAGGTTTTTTTAAAGATTTTTTTTTTAGTTGTAGATGGACACAATACCTTTACTTTCTTTCTTTATTTTTTATGTGGTGCTGAGGATCAAACCCAGTGTCTCACACATGCTAGGTGAGCGTTCTACCACTGAGCCACAACTCCAGCCCCCAAACATTTTTTATTTTAGACAGTGTAGCAAATTTTTTGAAATACTGCCTCAGTTGTTTGGGTCACTTCATTATCTATTAATTTTTACTGATACTTTTGGCTGAGTTGTTTCTCAGTGCAGTAATAACAAACTTGGAGGTAAAGATCCTGTATTCTACTTTTGTTTGAGTACCTTGATGGACTAGATACTTGGCAAATATGTGTTTGACAGTACCAATGTAATGCAGTCTAACCTGCTAGAGCATATTGTTTTCCTATGGTAAATGATCTAATTTTAAGGACTAAAAATAGCTGCTGGATAGCAGTGACCATAGTAAGGTAGCTAACAATGCACTGATGTAGAAATGTGTTGAATTTATGGTTAATGAATTTCTTAGGCATTCAGATTATCAGATTCTTCCAGGATAGGACATTTTCTTCCAATATATTTTGAGAATAACCAAATACGAAATAGGAAATGATACACAATATATAAAACTTAGCCTTCTGAGTCAAGTAATTATAGTATTCTAGAGCATACTAAAACTATTATATTTTTCAGTTTTACATATATAGGACTTTACACTCTATTTTGAGGAATGAGAATCATCATAAAATAGAAATTAAATATATATAGATAAGTATTACCCCTAATAATTGCCATCTTAGAATTTTTGCAGCAGTCATACCACTGCACAAAATATTTTTGTCTTACCCTTAGTGCTAAGTTGAGTCACCGAAGCAAACAGCTAATCACTTATATAGCATCTTATACTCATGTCTTGATTTTAACCAAATGGTGTACAGTGTGATCATATTATTGCCAGTGGTGCCTCCAGGTGATATTTTGACATTTACAAAGTTCAAATTAATTCTCAAAAGAAAAGTTTTGTGACCAATGAGGAGAAAGGAAGGAAGGGAAGAGCAAGGGGAAAAGAAGAAAGAAAATGTGGGGGGTGGATGGGGAAGCCAAAGCTCCAAGGGCATATCCAAAAGAGGTATTCCTAAAGTGCCAAAGAAAGACACTAATGCTATGTGTTTGTCTTTAAAAGACCACAACATTGAAGGAGACAAAAATCTTTTTTAGTTTTAAGATTGTTATGTTAGTTCTGTCTCTTTTTGGTAATGATGTGTGATATAAATGAATAGTATCATAGATTATGTTATATAATTAATAGGCTTTAAGAAAACAAACTTTATTACAAGACTCCTACTTGTGTTATAACCAAGGTACTTGTGTTAGAACCAAGAAAATTATTATGTTGTGATATTTTCCTCCCAAGGTTGTCTTACCACAAGAGATAAGAGGAATCACCAACCATTCTGCTTTGCCAAGAATTTGGGGAGAGGTGGGGGCAGCCACTACAGAATTCAAGGTACCTACCAATTTTGTGTTTCATTTTTAGGGAGATTCCTTATTATTTCTGATGGTTGTGTGATGATATAACAGGCATTTTCAGTAAGACCTTTCCTGAAAACCCTTTGTTTTTTCAAACATGGAAGCATATACTGTGAGCTGGGGTTTTGCTAAGCAAAAAAACTGAGACATAATTCTCATCTCTGGTTAACAGAGAACACCTTCTTCAGAACAGGAAGGAAAAGGAAGTTTTCATTTCAAAATGAGCCAATGCCACTTTTCCTCCCCATTACAAAAACCAAAACCGAAACTATTAAAGACAGATTGGGCAACAGGTTATTTGATCATAGAAATAAAAAAAGAGAGAACAACTAGTTATGTGAATTTAACTATTTGTGTCTTGACAGAATTTGAATGCAAAATCATAAAGTTATACATGTCGCAGGGGAAATACAAGTCATATAAACTTTTTTTTTCCATGTGCATAATGGAAAAACTTATGCTTTTGATTCTGTATTTCTCAAATAACATTTATTCCCAGGTATAAGTGAGCAGGTCACTTCAATGGCTGAGGTTGAGGTGATGACTAGGTGGTGGGAAATGGAGCATTAGGACTTGTAGCCAATAAGGTGGCAGAAGAGATGTGTAGAATTTTGCATGCAGGTCTCTCAAAGCAAGAGGATGAAATTGCATAGGCTGGCAGGTGTGGCCACAAAAGAAAGGGAAGTATGCTTCAGGTGCAAATCCTAAATGACATTTGATTCCTTCTGAGGCAGAGTTTCTGCTGTCTCACCTGGTGGCTGGCAAGTGACTCAGCATTTTCCAAAGCCCTTACTTGCATTAACCTTACTCTGGATGTGAGGTCCTCTTGGAGCTCAGGGTACCAGGAGAGGTGAGATGCAAAACCTCTCACCACATCCTGACATCCCATTGCATAGGCACTGTGCATTAGGGTTTTTTCATCTACAAGTCATGGCTTGTTCTTCAGGAACCACTAATCGTTTAATTCCAGTGATGCCAAAAATATGGGTCAAAAAAAAAATCAAATGATTGCATAGACAACAACAAAAAGAAAACAGAAATGAATATGTAGCTTTGAACCTTTGGGGATATTTGAAGTAAATTAGTGTTTGCTTACTGACTTTACTCAGGTCCACAGGAAGCATTTTGACCACTCTGTGGTCAGTACTGATCTCAACTTTATATGTTCTCATATGACATGCACATGTGAAGAACCTCCACCACTTTTGGTGGACCTGCCTACAATTATTTCATGGGCTCATTGCATGTTTCTTCTTTCCTATGCTGCATGATTGGTGGTCTTTTGTACATTGTGCAGATGTTTCTCTTGTGCTATTTCATGATTATTTTTCAAGTGGCCTCTTAGTCAAGGGATGGCAGGTCAGCACATGAAAACATCTGCTGTTACCATTTTTCTAAGCAAACAGCAGATGGCATTGCTGCTGTCCTTTTGATCTGGCGCAAAAATTCCCAAGGCTGAGGTGTTGGTTTACATTGACACTGCCTGGCAAGGAACTGCTTGAGAGTTTGCCTCCCCCAACAGTAGCACTGCTTACAGATGTTTTCTCTGCAACTCTCATTTTTAGTTTGTTTCTTCCTGTGACTCTACTTCTGCAGGGTGTCATGAACTTTGATTTTTCCCTCCTGTGTCTGTTGCTTGGTCATCTCATTGATATCAACCATAACCCTCAGGTTGTTTCCCATTTATCACCTGCTGGAAGTACCACTGGTGTTGCCATAGAGAAGACAGAACTGTATGTTTGGGTCACCTCAGGATTTGAACAATGATACATATATGTCTCGGATAAAACAAGGTTATTTGAAAAATAGCTGAAACACCAAGCTTTGTCTACATAGTACCTCAGGCAAACATTTTACCAGCTGAATTTGTAAAACTTTAATGCATGTATTTTTTTAAAATTTGCTTTTAGTTGTAGATGGATACATTACCTTCATTTTATTTATTTATTTTTATTTGGTGCTGAGGATCAAACCCAGTGCCTCACAAATGCTAGGCAAGTACTCTACCACTGAGCTACAACCACAGCCCCAACATGTACTCTCTTAAATCTGTAATTATTGAACAAGATTATCTTTACAAACAATGCAAATATGCAGAAAACAAACAAACAAAAAGCCAACTTCTTAATTTTCTAGGTGGAGAACAGCCTGTTGGAAGAAAAAAAAATCCGCTTAATTTTTTTCTTGTTTATACTGAATTTCCAATGACTTTAACTATAATGTAAACTTTGGTATTCTACCATGCTTCCTCATTCTTTGACATCTTTCTTTTGTAGGTGTTTCTTTTCTGATACTGTCAGTCAAATCTTTATGTGTGTCTTTCTGTCTTCTGCCTAGCCTTGTATATCCTGTCACGAGTTCCAGAAAGCGTCAATTTCCTCATCTGCAAAATAAGAATAATTAAAGTATTTTCCTTATAGAATTGTTGTGAGGATTAAATGGGATAATGTATGCTTAGCAAGTGCTTTAAAAATTGCAGTCATCATTCTCATCATCACTTCATCATCATCATTGCCTCATTCATGGGTCAAAGAGTCAGAGGACCCAGCTTGATCAAGTCCTAGCTGAAATGTCAGGCACTATTATTATCTCTTCTTTCTCATCCTAAGTCCAAGTTTTATTGCCTTTTATTTATTACTTGGGTTTTTGTATTATATATTCAAACTCCACATTGACAATTAAGCTATTCAAGTTCAAGATGCTATTCTTGAACTTATTTTATTGGATTACTTGAGATATCTATCAATATTCTATCTATATGCAGTGTGTGTGTGTGTATGTGTTTATTTATTTATTTATAGCTTTTTGGCTCAAAAAACTCCAAGTTCATATTTGTAACTTGACATAGTATAGTGATTATCACAGGTAAAGTTTCTAATTTTTGCCTTTGGTTGTTGGCAAGACAAAAATAAAGCCTTTGTTAAACCTGCACAGGGACTGATATACTTTTAAGTACACCTCAGAGTGACCTGTACCTTTCCATATATTCCCAATTTGTCATTGTCCACAGAATTTCATCCCCTTTAACCTGCAAAACATATGATGATACTAAGTGACAGGTAGATATGCATACTGGATTGCTTCTTGTGTATCACATGGTCAAGCTACTGTAGTTCCATTCGATTTAAGTTTTATGCAGCTATTGTTGTCTGTTTGTAGTCTTGCAAAATTGGACTTTCAAATGGCCCAATTTTCTAGGATACGTAAGTTTTCATAGCAAAGTATTTGCAGCCTCAAAAACATATAAGCTTTCAGAATATTTGGCAGCTATCTGAAGTGATTAGGAAAAATGAAATAATTTACTGCTTTTAAATTTTTTTAAGGCAAGCTCTCAAATCTAAAAAAGTTGTCAAAATGAATTATTTTGTGTTATTTTCTTGGTACATGCCACCTTTTCAGAATTTTATTAAAAAAATAAAAAGGGAGGAGTAAAGAGGATATCTAAGAAAGAGCGTGACTCATTTTTCTAACAAGAAAAGGCAGTCGCTGACTATGTGTGGAAATAATGCCGGAGCATGTCTGTTAACATCTAAGTCATTGTAGAATTTGGGATTACCAGGAGTCAGTAAACCTTAAATACTGGTGATTAGTTTAATTAACACTGGAAAAACAAATCTCCTTCCATCTCTCAAACACATATTTCTGGTGAACCTATCCCAGTATCCTTTTATTTCATTTCCACTCAGTTCTTCTGGAATTTGTCAAATCCTCTTATTAAAATGTTCTTTCTTTTTGTTTGTATGTTTCCTTAAACTCTAAAATGAATAGACTTGTCCCAAATATTCTTACCCATTCTTAGACAACTTCTTATTTTAGCACAACATTTGACTGTATCCTTTAAAGTTTTGAGTTGAAAATTGAATTTGCTTTAATTTCTTCTCCTTCTGACCCAATTAGGTTTCCAGTCTTCATCCTTTGAATGAATTATTTTGTGTTATTTTCTTTCTCCTTTTTCCTGTGAGGTTGCAGCTCATTTTTCTATTCTTTTCTTAGATTTTTAAAAACTCACTTTACAATCTAATTGTATCATTTAACTATTATAATTTATTACACTTTAAATTGGATTCTTTTAGAGAAAACTTGACCTTTTATTAGTTATGCAATATTTACAAATCAATAAATTATTAATTTTCAACTATAGGAAGTGAACTCTAAAAGGGCCCTTGTCTGTCTCCTGAACCTAAATCTGTCTTCCCTATCTCCTGCTAAACACCTTTACATCAGAGTCCCTCTAATACAATAAAATCACCACATCCCTGTTTCTGTTTATGGAACTAATTACTCATCCTACCCTGAAACTTTGGCATGTTCTTCACCTTATGCCTCCTTTTTTCCCCACATTTGACTGGCCACTCGTCCATTGAGCAGCCTATGCTGTTTTTCACATCCATTTGCTCAGTTCTAGGTTTACATCTTTGCAGTCCTTGAGACTTTTCTCCTCCTCCACGTTCCTGACATTATAATTCATTTCCCACCTTGCCACCCTACCACCATATGTACCACTTCCAGCCTTTTTGCTTCCTGTCATTCTCCATTAGCTTGCATATGGCTGCTGGATTTTTCTTCCTTAAGTGTAGCTCTAATAGTTGCTTTTCTGTTGTGTACATAATAAACTCTTTCCTTTAATTAAGATCTTCCATATTTAAGAACCAAATTTTTCTTCTGCCTTTCTCCTTCATGCTGTCCTCTATACCTCCATATACTTTGGGCAGTTTTGAATTTCTCTGATCTCTCTGTGCCCTTATGGTCCTCTCTATTATTTTTCTCATGTTCCTTTTTCTATAAGTTCTCTAAATCTCCTTCTCGAGTCATGAACTACCAGGGTACTAGTCAAATGCCACTTCTCCGTAAAGCCATCCTTGATTATGCTACCTCCCCCCGCCAAACCTACTAGTGAATTTTCACTTTCTTTATTCTTTTTCTTGATGTGTTAACTCTTGCCTTCCTTTGTTGTTTGTTGTGTTTACTTTTCTCTTT